AGGCATACCTCTATCACACTAAACACTATGTGTACCTACTGTGGAAACTGGTTTGTCTTAATGTTTAAGGCTTCAGTCTGAGATTTCTCTAGCTGCAATATTCACCTTATAAGGAAAGAAAAGTTAAATATAGTTTAACTAATGTACACTTGAGAAAAAATGCAAAGCCCTTGAAGCAATCTACTAACCAAAATGGCCAAACTCAGAGTAGCAATTTGACTTCCTCCTGGTGTTACTGATGGCTAAGTGGTGAGGAATTTGGATTGTCAAGAAATATATTTCTCATTTTTATCCCTATATATTTTTCTGCTTCTTTTCGTTATGTATATTCCTAGTCCCAAGTCTCTGCATATGCTACCATCTTATTTTTAATGTAAAAATTTGTTTATTCACAATCCTTGACAAGCTGTCATTCCTTCAAAAAATTCTTTATGAATAAAATGCCAAAAAATTACAATATAGCTTATACCAAACAAAAACTATACATCAGATGTATACAAACTTCAAAAACCATAACACAGTCAGCATGAATATAGATTACCTTTAAAATATTTCCCATGACATAGCTACAATGTAAATTGTTAACATAGACATAAACAAATAGCGTTACCTAATATAGTTACACTAGAGACCCAGTGCACAAAATTTGTGCATGGGAAGGGGGGGGGCACAGGAAGGTGTCCCTCAGCCAAGCCTTCACCCTCTCCAATCTGGGGCCTAAACCAGCAGTCGGACATCCCTCTCACAATCCAGGACTGCTGGCTCCTAACCACTCACCTGCCAGCCTGCCTGATTGCCCCTAACCACTCCCCTGCTGGCATGATTATCACCTAACTGCTTGCCAGCCAGCATGATAATTCTCAACTGCCCTCCTCTGCTGGTCCAATCACCCCCATTGCCTCCCCCTGCAAGGCTGAGTGGGCTTGGGGACTTGGAGACTCCAGGTTGGATGAGGGGACTTGGGGATGAGGGGACTGGGCACCACCATCTCGTGGCTGTGGGAAATGCCATTTTATGAGAGCATGGCAGTCAATTAGCATATTCCTTCTTTATTGGTTTGGGTGTCACCATCTTTGTGAAGGTGTGACAGTCAATTAGAATATAACTTCTATTAGATAGGCTGTTTAAATTGTCATATTAAGTCTTTTAAATAAAATGGCATCATAGATGCCAATGCCTAGCAGCTCAGATATGGAAAGGACCAAATGATTGTTTTAAGTACAGCAAGAACTCTGCGTTACTATTTACATCTGAACTTTCCTGTATTTTTTTAGAATGTGTACTGTCTTTTTTGAAAGAAAAAGAAAAGGAAAAAACACTAAGGAAAAAAATCAAGAATTTGCTTACTGCAATCATATCAAACCTCAGCAAAATTGAGACAAGCTATTAGGAGTCTTATCTGCTTGGCCTTTTAGGTTGATGCCTAAACTTTATAGAAAAGAGTTCATTATAGCCGAAGCTGGTTTGGCTCAGTGGTAGAGCGTCAGTCTGCAGACTGAAAGGTCTAACAGGTTCGATTCCAGTCAAGGGCATGTACATTGGTTACGGGCACATCCCCGGTAGGGAGTGTGCAAGAGGCAGCCGGTCGATGTTTCTCTCTCATCGGCGTTTCTAGCTTTCTATCTCTCTCCCTTCCTCTCTGTAAAAAATCAATAAAATATATTTTTTAAAAGAGTTCATTATATATCACAAAAAGTAGTTAAATATATTAATATACTTAGTTCTAGCTCATTAATGCACCTTGTATTATAAGGCAAAGGAAAACTTAATAGAAATCAACAGATCCTTTCACACCAGAAAGGTTTTACTTACTTTGAAATAGTCATATTATCTTTTTAGGTTTTCCTTCCTTACTGAATGATGCACAAAAAAAAATATGATCTTTCTAAGACCAGTTACTGGAAATATAAAATTAAGAGAGAAAAAAAGTGACACCTAGAAATGATGATTGACAGAAAGGCAGATAGACAGAACCAAGGTAGGTATCTGTTGCTACCCATTTCCAACCAGACTCTAACGTAAAAATGTCCAACCTGTCAGTCAACATTTCCATGTTTTCATTAGATAATTATTTTTCTCTGATAATGATGAAGAAGCTATGAGACTTTCAGTGAATAAAAAGGACTATAAAAGTTTTTAAATATTAAAGGTTTATATCAAAATTTTACATTCACAATTTATTTTGCATGACCTTTCAGAGGTTTTATATTTTTATTCCTTATTCTTGTCATTAAGTTATTTTAATTAATGCAAATTAACTTTTATTCCTTAGATTTCTAGGAGTTAAATACTCATCTTCCTGGTATCAACATTAAAAAACTTCAAGAACTGACAAAGACTAACCTATTGGAAATATAAAAGCTTTCAGAAACACAATACTTGCTGTTGACTATTTATATAATAGAAAAGAAAAAAGAAGCTGACATTTTATTTCTATACCATATTTTTACAATTAGTTAATTTTTAGGATTTTTTATATTGCCTGAAAAGTTGCATATTTAAAGCTAGAGAAAATTTATGGGATAGATGGGAATTTAAAAAAGAAATCATTTTGATGTTTCGGAATCAGGAGAGCTCCAAGAAAATATATATATTATGATTTTATACACATACTAGAGTCCCAGTGCACAAATTTGTGCACCTTGAAAGAAACTGTGGGCACAAAGCTGCAGTAGGCATTCTCTGTGCCATCCCCCTTTTCCCCCCACCACCACTTCCATGACCCCCACTCCCACTACTGCTGCTCCCATGCGCTGATGGCACTGGCCCTGCTTCCACTCACTGAATGCTTGGAGTGATTGGGGCTGGTGCCAGCAGCAGATATAAATAGCAGCTCTGGCACCAGCAGCAAGTGCAAGTGGGGCTGTCACCAGCAGTGGGTGCAAGAGACAGCTGCTGGCCCCAATCTCCCCTCAGGAGCATGAGGAGGTGGAGAAACCCTGAGAGACAATAGGGGTTGGCAGCCACCACTCACACCACTGACAGCGCTGGGCGATTGAGGCTGACACCAGGCACTGGCAGTGGGTGTGAGCAGTGGCTCTAGCGCCAGCAGCAGATGTAAGTACCAGGTGGGACCAACGCACACGGGAGCAAAGAAATCTCAGTAACCACCAGAGGCTCACCCAATGACAGCGACTGACACCCCACTTTGATCTGGCACTTCCTGCCAGGGCCAATGCCCACCAAGTTCAACATACGCCTTTTGGTGGTCAGTGCACATCATAACAACCGGTTGTTCAGTTGTTCTGCCATTCAGTTTATTTGCATATTAGCCTTTTATTATATAGGATATATGATTTTATATACATATATACATATGATTATATATGTGGCCAAATAAACAACCAAATGCTTTGTATCCAAGATGAACTTTTTTAGATCATTTTTCCTTCTTTATATTTTATAAAAATAGAAAGATTATGTTCTGTTAAAAAAAAAAACAAAGCCTAGAAAACCAAGACCAGTTTTTGTGTATGTCATTTTATTCTGAAAAACACAAAGCTATGTCTTTCACAGGTAACTTTACTTAAGTGAATATGAATCTGAGGGTGGGAGGAAATGGTTAACATGCAGGAATCTTTGGGAGCTATTAAATGTTTGAATCTAAACACAATTTTCACTTAGTGATCATGCCTACAGTTCCTATTGGTTGGATACTTAAATATGAATAACACCTGGCCTCTGTTTTCAGGAACTCCCTACTATTTCATGGGGAGGAATGAGATAGGAGAAGAACTAAATAGTAGATAAAGAGGAATATACGTATTCATGAGAGGAAGAAATAAATTTTCATAGGAGTCCAAATGAGAGGAAAAGAACATGTCTGGTGAAGGAGAGAAGAGATTCATAATAGGAGGTAATATTTTAAATGGGCCTTGAAAGGTAAGAAGAATTGTGACAATGGGAACAGTAAGGGAAACGTATGCTAAAGACAGCATAAACCAAGGCAAAGAAGATGTATTAGAAGAACTGAGCATATTGGGGGACTGGGGTTAGTAGTTTTGCTGAAACATGCAGTATCAGAGTACTATTGCAAGACAAGAACAAGTCTACCTAGATTTTATTTATTTTTTTATATTTTTTATTGATTTTTTACAGAGAGGAAGAAAGAGGGACAGAGAGAGAGAAACATCGATCAGCTGACTCCTGCACACCCCCTACTGGAGATGTGCCTGCCACCAAGGTACATGCCCTTGCCCAGAATCTAACCTGGGACCTTTCAGTCTTCAGGCCGATGCTCTATCCACTGAGCCAAGCTGATTTCGGCTACCTAGATTTTAATTTAATGGTCAATAGGAACCACAAAAATTGACTCAAAGCAAAACTGTAAAGTGTATCTTCATCTCATCTCCTCCTCCTTATGTTCTCCATGAAGCAACGAGGTTTTCATGGAGGTCAAGGGAAGCAATAAAAGACTGAGCTGGTCCAGTGTCCTGAGAACCCACTGCCTCCTCCTGAGAGCACTATGCAGAGGCATTGTTTGCATTTTCCAAAGAAACAATGGCATTCCCTTTAAAAAGTCCTAAAACTTTGTATTACTACCTTCCACCTAGCCTGTATTTTTTCAAGTGCTTATTTCAGTCAAATTACAGACCTTTGTAACAAGAAGTTAAATGCAAAAGATACTAATCCATTGCAAAGTAAGCACAAGTCTATTTGAAAGCCCCAGCTTTCAAATCAGGAAAAACAGTTAAATAATAGTAACTCAAAAAGGTGTAATTTCAGTGAAGTTACATTGTCAGGTAAGAAAATATGAAATGTATCCAAGATTCCTCTTTTCCCTGAGACTTAACTACTGCCAATCACTCACTGAGTAACTGACATTTTTCGCAGCCTCCACCATCATTTATTTGCCACATTTCTGTGGGATTTTAGCCTATACATTTTAAAAAAGCATATGATTTTTTTTCAGGTTCATAATTTATTGTACAAATTGAGTATCACATGATGAGTTGACATTAGCTTCTCCAGGCATGGGCAATTAATAGATGAGGTACAGTTTATAATCTTTTCATGTTGCTTTCACAGCTGGAGTTTTTTTTGGACCGTAACTTGAAGTACATAACCAGCAAAGCAATGTTTCCATATGTGGCTATTACACAATTCATTCTACCTGTGATAGTGTAAGAGTTGAAATATTTTTTGATACCAGTGAACTGGAATTGGGCATCAGCTTCTGGACCTGCCATGATTTCAATCTCGCTCAAAAGCACGAACTCCGCAGGCTCTAAAAAAAGCATATGATTTATAAGCAGTGGCTTCAGCTAAAGAGATATTTGTGAGGAACATATAGGACTTAAGTTGCATGATTTCTGTACAATTGGGAAGCCTACTTCTGTGCTTCCCCAATATGGAAGCACTTCATCCAGAGAAACACCAGGGCATGATTGGACAAATTTAGTATCATAGAAAGTCAACCTTTTATCCATCACAAGGACACGGAAAGGACAGAGCACAGTGTGACAAAACTGGGCACAGAGATAAAGGCGTTTTACTGATGACAAATCACTAATGGGCAATTTTTGAAAAGCATATTAAAAGGGTACCTATTTTCTTAAGTCTACCATTAGCATTGGAAATAAGAGTCTAGAAATCAGCTTAACTGAGATGCTGAAATTAAAGTATGAATTTAAAGCAACTACAGAGCTACTAATAAGAACTAACAGTGTTAAAAATAAAGTCCACTCATTCTAAGAAGAAAATCTATCTTTGGAAAATGATGGGGTCAGGGAGGAAGGGTCAAAGGGCTCCGTTTTATTGCATTTTGTCTCAGCAGATTCTTATGGAAAGAATGCTTTAGCAAAGTATCCCTATATTGGCTTTACATGTTAATCTTCCTACACTAATCCTCTTAAATTGAGACAAATACATAACCCGTATTATATTACATTTGGAGTTTGTAATATACTAGTAGAAATTTAAATTCAAGTTAATTGCTTTAAAAAAGGGGGGGGGGGTGTGCTCTCATACATGGCATAGATTCAATCATCGTCTATCAACATTTTCCTATGTACATATGGTTCCTAGTTTAACTTTATAATATTTTTTTTTCTTTTTTGTGTCCTGATGGAAGGTCATGGAGAGGATGGGCTGGTATGCACAAAATCAAGGGTATGCAGAAAATTGTGAAATTAGCCACTTTCCCCAAAACAAGCCCTATCTTGAAGGATATAAGGGACTGGGAGGAGAGTCCTGAGAAACACCAGGCATCTGGAGGCTGCAGTCCCCTCATCCCAGACTCATCCATAAGGAGTCTCTCTAACACCACCTATTATGCAAACCCCAGTGCTCATGGATGCCTCACTCCACCCTCTCCCCAGAAGCCCTGCCAGGTGTGAGGAAGGGTCTATGGCCCAAAATGGCCCAGGACAGGCACTGAAAGCCAGACAACAGGGAGTCAACTGTGCATATGTCAGCAGAAAATCTACAGCATCCTTAGCCCTTTGGGGCTGAAGACACTAAGATAGTGAGTTCAGGCCTGCACAACCCAGAGTCCTCAATTCCATGTCTGCCAAGGTCTAAGGCCATAGCAATCCTGTGCACCTGTTCCACTGCACAGCCTCGGGGCCAGATGTTAATCCCAGCAATTTTGAGGTGTCTCAAATTCATCCCAGAAGACAATCACTACCTGTTCCCTGAGCCTTTCCCGGAAGAGCAGACTCAGGAAGATACTCACTTCTGACCCCACCCATCTATCAGCACCCTGCCCTGGAATAACTTTATACACAATGGAAGAAGACGTGTGGAATTACTGCTTAGGGATATACAGGTGAGGTGGACTGAGCTGGCAATACACGTGATTTTGGTGAACAATGTGTACAAGAAGATAACCAGCATCCTTGAGGGAACTTTGTTTAAATGGTGCTCAATTCTACTTGGATGAACTACTTAGTAGAATATTAAATGTAATTTCAATTTACAAAAGGGGAAACATGTACATGAATGATAACAAACAACTTTATTTGAAAATAGAAGAGTCAACCCCCCCCCCAACACACACACACACACACACACCAAAAAATGTGCTATTACATTATTATACAGATTTTCCACTTCAGGAATCTTTTCTCATAGCAAGCCCTATTTCAGGGTTCACTGACTTACACAAAATCATTAAACCATAGAAAATTTTATTAACCTGAAGTCTTCATTTACTTTATAACTCTTAGAAGCTTACCAGGTAGTAAAGTAATATAACCCTTCCTGAATATACACATTTCATCATATCTGTAAAGAATATAATGAGGGTCTCTAGGTAGTAGACTGTATTATCTATAAATAAGATTAGTTTTACTAAAAATAGTGTTTTAAATTCCCCATATTATTGGAGTAATAAAATAACATCTGGATTAAGAAGTTGCTGGCTGATATTTATTGCTTAATTTCAAGAAAACATTAACATAGATTGGTTAGGCACATAATGTTTGCTCTATCATTTAGATGAAAAACCAGAGCACAATATAATCCTTTGTTTACCTTCATATGATGGATGTTTCCAGAAAAATTAAGCTTCATCAAAATGTGCATCAAATTAATTTTAAATTTAATACATAGTCAAGAGGAGGGTTGAATTTTTCTGAAAAGGACTATGAAATTGGAAATCCATGAATCTCACAAATTTACATTGTTACATGGATAATGGGATGGTGAATAAGACTAAATTGAATCAATCACATACAGTGATTTTATTTATACCAATTTTCCTGGTGCCAGGAAACTCTCATGTCCCCAATTTTATGATACAATTGTCTTGGTTTCAAATTTTAATAGCTCAATAATATATACAAATTTTTTAAATCATGAATCTCAATCATGATTTTGTGGTTGAGAAGAACATGAAATTTAGTGGTAGAGAATAACACACAAATAGCATTTATCAGGAAAGCTAGGTTCTGATTTATGAATGGTAGCAAGTTAAATTTTTTAAAAAATATTTTTGTCCTACATTTGCTAAAGATTTTTATATGTCAATTTTCATGCACTAATACTTCTTAAATTGAGACAAATACATAATCCTAACTTTTGTAGGTGCATTAAGGATTTCATGAACAAAATAAAACATTCTCTCATAGTCATGTTTCTTCCCCTCTACCATCTCAAAATCCGAAAGGAAGAAGACCCAAAAATATTGTCAGGATGATGCTTTGTCTTTAGACCCCAATTTTTCTAAGAATTAAAAGGAGTTAAATGAGTACATTTTCAGTATACATGACACCTGAAAATACAGTTGGTTTGTTGTTTTTAGGAATCTGAAAATTTGTTTTCACAGAAAACCAGATGGTGTTTTTGGTTTGGGGTAGTAGTAGAATTTTGTTTTGTTTGTTGTTGTTGTTTGTAAAAACAGGTGTGATGATCATTTTCTCCTGCTACTATATTAGCACATGTAATTGCTAAGTTCACAGGCAACCATCTCAATTCTTTTACCAGCAGATGGTGAAAGAGAATTTAAGAGAGGAGTAAGGATTTTTCAAAAACCATTTCAGAACAGTATGAGATTTGCTCTTTTCCTCAATGGGTGTGTCAACTTCTGATGAACGCTAATGGAACTCACATAACAGCATCTACAGTGCATTTGCCTTTAATTGCTTGACAGTTATCCAGATTTTGTAAAATTATCTAACAAAGCATTATGTACTTGCAGTAACTTTCTTCAGATCACTTTATAACCATTAGCTAATTAAACTGCACAAATACTTCTGTAAAATATGGAGGTGAAAAGTTTTACAGGCTTCATTTTATTGAATTTCTAGATATATCACTGGCAGAAATGGAAGTGAAATGTAAATTCCAAACTTATGAGGATTTATGCTCCATGTTACACTGGCTCCTCAAAAGTAAATGACTCACTTTTAGGGTACATAGACCTTTGATGCCACAGGCACCGTTAATTGCTTCCTCATTATCCAGTCCTCTCCTCTTCTTAGCTAACAGAATCCTACTTCTCCTCAAGAATGGCCATTGTTAAAGAAAAAATGGTTCTGACACTTGCTAAAATGGTAATGAAGACTTTATCCAAGACTCTCACAATAGAGGTATTACAATTGGGGACAGAGATCAGAACTCCAAATACAGCAAACATAGCTGGGAATTTGTAAAGTGAGGGTACCAGTGGATAGAAAATTACAAAGAGGAGACACCAAAGATAAGAGAATTTTTACTAAAAGTTGTGGGCTTGATCCCCAGTAGGGGCCATGTAGGAGGCAACCAATCAATGATTCTCTCTCATCATTGATGTCTATATCTCTCTCTCCCTCTTCCTTCCTCTCTGAAATCAATAAATATACATTTACTAGAGGCCCAGTGCATGAATTTGTGCATGGGGAGGGTCCCTCTGGGTGGCCTGTAGGGATCAGGATGAAACCCGAAGTCCAATGCTGCCTGCAGCTCCTACCTGCTGCTCCTGCTCACCCCAGCCCCACTGTGCCTGCCACAGGCTCGCCTTCAGTAGGTTCCGACTGAGAGGAGCTGCCACAGCAGCACTTGCCAGCCATGAGCCCTGTGCCTGGTGCCCTCCCAAGGGGAGTGGCCTGCGGGATTGGGCTGAAACTGGCTCTCCAACATCCCCCAAGGGGTCCCGGATTGTGAGAGGACACAGACCAGGCTGAGGGACCCAATTGGTGCACAATCAGGCTGGGGAGGGATCTCTGTAGGGTTCCAGGGTGTGTCTGGCCCATCTTGCTCAGTTCCCATTGGCTGGATCCCAGCAGCAAGCTAACCTACCAATCAGAGCATCTGCCCCCTGATGATTAGTACACATTATAGTGAACAGCTGAGCAACCTTAGCATATCATTAGCATACTGTGCTTTGATTGGTGGTTCGGTTGTTCTGCTGTTCAGCCTATTTGCATATTATCCTTTTATTATATAGGATAAGATCAAACTATCTGGATACATATAAAACATTAGAGTGAGAGATTTCAAAAATAAATAGAAATTCCTTATGTTTTGCCAGTCATTTTTCTATGTATTTCTTTTTCTATGTGTATATTCTATTGCATTAAGTAACTTTACATATGAGCAATAGACACAGAAGAATAATACCTATGTGGACCTGGGGGCAAAATTCATATATTACAAATAAATTTAAAATTGCTTCAATATAAAAGTATGAATTGCTGAGGGACTATATAACAGGAGGTCTCAATCTTTTATGTGTGTTAGGCTTCACTGAAGAGGTAACATTTGAAGG